AGTCATGTGCAAAAACTCGGAGCAATATATCCATTCGTTATCACAAACTAGTCTTAAATTCATTTCAAAATCTAGTTTTCGTTTATTTTCTAAAAACAAAATGTTATAAAAATAAGTCTAATTTTTTAAATAAAAAATTTGCCTAATAATCAAATGGTATCCTTAGACACTGTTTTCATATGATTTCATTCATATGAAAGCAGAGTTAATGTATACCATTAGGTTACTGGGTACATTAATGTAACATGCAACTTTATCGACTAATAAGTTGTATATATGAGTTTATAATATACAAAAAGATTAATCGATGAATAAAAATGAATGACTATTGATAACTAATTTTACTTTGAAAGCAGAGTTTACTCATTCAAACTAATAATAAACTCTGCTTTTATTTATCAATAGTCATTCATTTTTATTCATCGATTGATCTTTTTGTATATTATAAACTCATATATATAAATTTATATATTAAATACCGATTCGTTTGTGATTAAGAAAAAAAGGCTCAATTTTTATGTCATAAAGGGTTGGGTTCACCACATCCACGGCTTCCCTCAGATAAACACCTAAACCCTGACCACAAGTTACGTTAAAACGGACGTCCATTTCCATTGCCCCCTTAAATCGAGTCAAATGTTCAAACGCTTTCTCAACCTATACGTTAAGATTGTTATATATATATAGCATGGTAGTTTATTATGATCAAGGTACGTTCCGTTACCTGGATCAGTCCGTGTCCATGTGTGAAGGGCTCCGAGTCTGGCAGTACGAGTGCAGTGTTTTCGATAGCCCGGCGCACACTATACGGCGAGTACTCTATATTCAACGCCTGGAGACCCGATAATAAGAGACACAGACATCCGGCACAGTTGGGTGCACTCATGGACGTGCCATTCGCTAACTCGGCTCTCATTAGATCACATGCGGCAACCGATGTTATAGCACCTCCCGGTGCGCATACGGTTACACCTAAATCACCAAGTAACCTAATATAAATAGAATAATAATTACCATACTATTCAACTAATTCAATGACGCTTACGTGGGCCCCCGGGATGTCCATTCATACATCAAGCCATGTATTTGTTTTGTCATTGAATAGGCGGTTGTCATCATATCGGGCGAGACATAAGCGCCGACACTTATAAACGAAGCCGAGTATACTGTATTTAGCCATACGGTGGACAGGGAGGGCCCTTCATTACCGGCACATATCACAAATAATATGCCGTATTTGTTGACCACTTCGCTCATAAAGTCGTAAACGGTGCTAAAATATAATAAAAAACACCAAGCATATATTTTGATAAATTAACTAATTCTTGAGGGACAGGTATCTGAAAGGTACTGACTCGTCGAAGTATTGAGTGGTTCTCACGTAGCTCATATTAATGACATGACATCCCGTTTCTATCACTTTAATAAGTGCCCTAAAAATATTTAATAGAATTTATAAAAGTAAGATTTAAAATACTTATTATGTTTATTATTATATCTCATAAACTAAATTAAGTATTTGAAAAATAAATTTATAAAAAAAATTATTTTTAAATGTGTTTTAGAATCTAAAATTTAGATTAAAAGTTTTATTCTTATTACTAATGCTATTCTCTAAAGATTATTAATCTAATCAGAATTATTTTATTCCTTATAGCTTATTATCATAAATAGGACTATGGTGCTTTATGCCCGTGATTAAATGCTAAATTTTTGGTGTATAAAACACCTAATTCTCAATTATAGTTAAAAATTTAAAAAAATAAAATATTTAAATAAGATTCTGAAAGCAGATTAAAATTTAGGAAATAATATGTACCTCACGAAACTGGAATCAAAACCTTGGGCATATCGATTATCATCGAAACATATGCTGACGATTTGAGCGCCCGGTGCCACACCATTCCTATGGGGGTCGGTGGGAAAGTTAGCTGCCGCTATGCTGGCCACGTGGGTGCCGTGTGAGGCTGTAATATAAATTTACATCAATTATATTTAAATTGTTTTTTAAATGTCTTTACAGCTTATGGACACGATTTCCAATAGGTTTCCCTCGTTATGGATATTAATGGCATAATTTAGCAGATCTGTAGAAAATAAAATAATTTTTAAAATATTTTTTTAACTAGATAATTATTAAACTAAAGTACCTGCCTCTATTAGATATTGTTCCGTATTTAAGACACTCCCTGTAATTGCCTAATAGTGTACAGTCTGCTAGGTTACCGGTGCCACTCGTATGGATAACAGCCCTGTGTGTGAAAATAAATAACAATTAGTTTTAATTATTAATTTTTAATTGACCTAGTAAACAAAATATATACTACAACTCTACTTTTTCATTTGTCAAATTGATTTTTCATATGAAAGTAGAATTGACGTATACATTTTGTGTACTAGGTCAATTAAAAATATCCACATATCATTAGAATAGTTGAATAATTTGATGAAAGCCTTACTTCCAATGCAATCCATCATAAAATACCACACAATCATAAGTTGGGCCCAAATCCTGGTATTTATGATTAGACTCCATGTCCTCCAGGAAATCCACTCTCGACTGCAAGTCTTCCCTCAAAAGTTTCTCATCAAATGTATCCCGAGAAGGGTCGCCATGTTTGCCCTCAAACTCCCGGAGCGCTCGCAGTGTTTCCGTTTTAATAGTCTGATGCGTTGGTTCCCATTGGGTGTCCCTATACTCCCGGGTCATACGGGTGCCCACATAACACGGATATAATTGATAAATATTTTTCAATCCGATGTGATATGTGCCAGAAGGGTTCACCCAATGGTCCGGTATCTAAATGAACAAAATTATTACATAAATAATATATTTATAATTAATTAATTATGTAATTATTATACAAAACTTGCATAAATACACGAAATCAGCTTTAATATGACTGCTATAATGCTAAACAGTGGTATGAAAGCAGAGTTAATGTATGTATACAAGTTTTGAACTAAGTATAACTGAATTGAAAATATAATTTCAAACTTTGAGTTTAGTTGCCGTGAGTCCAGTGATAAATCCCTGTTCATCGGCCTCAACAACAGTACTGGTGTCGACATCGCCGGCACCGGTAGCGTCCATCATGTCTACGATCTTTGGTTTGCCATCACTAGTGAGCTATAAATGAGAATATTTTATAATTTCATAATTATGTCAATAAAATCCGCAATGAATTACCTGTAGGCCATCAGCTCCGGGATCCACTCCCGAGTCAATGATAGCAATCTTAATACCCCTGCCGTCGTAATCCGGGTATTTCTCGATGAATGACTGGGCAGTGGTTTCCCGTTTGGGTAGTAATGCCCACAATGGGAACGACCCATTGACTACCGACGCGCTCATAATAAATTAATACAAGTGTGTTAAGTTAAACATTAATCCTGGTATATTATTTATTTTTTTAATTGAGTTGAAAATAATACAATTAGTGTTGCGGTAGGCTATGATAAAATGCTCGGCACCGGTAGTATAATTAAAAACTCAATCAAATCGCATGTATAGTAAGTGTATAACGAGAATCCAATCGACAATTCGTAACAAACAATAGTTCACTAAAAGTCGGTCACTGGGGTTAACACTAATTGTGTGTTAAGTGTTTTTAAAATAAACAGATGTACTTGGTCAACTGTCATGTATATTGTTACAAGAACTACATTGAGACCTTTGGTGTCCAAACAATGACCAAACTTTCACTCATTTTGCTAAACATCGCAAATAAATGCACACAAAAAACTTAATTCATATACCATTCATAATAAAGGCATTCATGTGTTCAAAGGCATACTGAATGTGCCAAACAGTGGTTGCAATCCTTGCACAATATGTTGCAACTCATTATGTATTCCCCTCCCGGTGCCTTTCAATACACTACATACACACAGTCAAATTGACTAGTATTTACACAGAACTGGATTTGTGTGGGGGAACTGTAGTCAATGGAAAAGGGATTCTTGACCTTAATATTCTGTGTGTAGCAAAAATAATAAATTATTTTTTATTTGTTTTTTTAATTTGATGCGAAAAAGTCCAGGGCTATTGAATAACATGTGGCACATATCTATAGTACAGTACATAACTATAATATTTACAAAAATGAACAGTATTAAAAGCATAAAAGTTATGTAGTTAATACCAGTAAACTTTTAAACATTTATGTTAAAAATTACTTTAAGCACCAATTATTAGTATATATTTATATAATTATACATTATAATGTATATATTTTACTACAAATACCTGCACACGAATATCACAATATTTTTAAAATATACATTATACAAAAATTAAAATTAATTAATTAATTAAAATGTGTTCATTAATTGTAACAGGGAGTTTTTTTTAATGTAGTAATAAAACACAATTCAATACCAGAAATAAGTTGATAAAAGTTTTTTGGGTTATTATTGGACTGAATGTTGAGTTAAATGATTGCCAAATAATGTGAAAGTTTTTTACATTCACAATTCAATTACCATATGAAGTATCCAAAAACATATTGCAATGAGTTTTATATAAACTATTTTATGAGCACACAAGTTTGTCTATGAGTTAAATGATTGCCAAATAATGTGAAAGTTTTTTACATTCACAATTCAATTACCATATGAAGTATCCAAAAACATATTGCAATGAGTTTTATATAAACTATTTTATGAGCACACAAGTTTGTCTAAATTAAATTAAACCCGATACTAGTATATTATTTGACTCGATGTATGGTATTTATTTTCAATGCTATACTGATAAGTGAGTCATACAATACGTTGAGACTAAATAAAATAAAATATTGAATTATAATAAAAATGTTTTCAACTTATTTTTCCCAAACAATTGTTTTGTTTGTCATTAAATGTCAATTACAATTGAATTTC